TATAGGAATTAAAGAAAGTTTTTTTTCAAAGAAAAATTAAACATATTTCATGAAATCTGACTAAAATGATTTCAGAAAAATAAACTTGTAGAAATCATTGAGCGATTTTTACTATTTTTTCCTCCACGCAATTTTGAATTATAGTCGAAGAAAAAAATCTAGTATTTTTTTCAAATATTAAACTTTTAAGATTATTTTAATAGAATAAATATTATAGAAAAAAGTTAATTCTTTAACTAATAAATTTGTTAGTAATTCATCTTTGTTTTCTATTTTTCGCATAAGTTTTGTTTGTCACTTAAAATAACAACTATTACTACTACTATTCCAGGCATAATTTATGGAGCATCTGAGAATACAAAGGCTCTTTTTTATTCATAGTTGGCTGTTGGTCGAGACATGTTATCACAAACTTAATTAGAGAAATGAATAATAATAACTTAATAACTCAGCACACAATGAAAAAGAACAGAAAGAAATTCTAAAAACATATTTGCCATTAGGAGCGTAGCAATCTCATTATGGTTTTACTTAAAAAAATAAATAAATTGTCATGCACATTGCGTTTGAATGCTAAACTTTAACAATAATTCCCGCTTAGGCTATTAGCAAGGTATGTGAAGTGTACTGTCTGTACCAATGTAAATTAATAAATAGTATTTACTGTCGCTATGTCGATGTGCAGATGTACTATCAAACGGTCATCAGCGAGGAAAGTGGAATCGTCGAGTCGGTTTCAAATTAAACCCAGATTTGCTACGTTCGCACAAGTACCCAAAATTTACTTGACCCCCCCCCACTGAGTCAGGTTGTGGTACAAGGTCATTTTTTAACGTGGGGGCTCGAGTGTTTCCACTCGGATCGCTGATCTAAGCTGGTCTTAGCTTGTCTAAACTGGCCATAGCTTGTCTAAGCTAGTCATAGTTGGTCATGCCACTACTACATAACAAATGTCACGTAGCGGTGGGGTGGAGCAAGGGTGGAAAGAAGGCCTCCATCACGGAACAGATACTACATATGCAGCATACATCCCGACAGGAAAAACCCAAATTCTATTCCTCTACCTCCAGAAGAATCCGGGGGAGCCCCGCTTCGCACAACTACTATTGCGAATAGGCATAAATTCGAGGTAGAAGGTTACGTTAGGAGGCCATAAGAGTGAAAGATAACGGTTAACCCTAGCCTTGAACAGCTTAAGATTGTATTGATCGGGGAAACATCCCGTTGGGGTTCGGTTTCACAGGGCAGTTGTTCGCTGGAAGAAGTTGCTCGAGTAGAACTTAAAATATAAATAAATATATGGCAACAATACTCCATTTTTAGCCTGATCTGGCTCTTGTCAACGTAGAGGACAGCAGGAGGAGTCAGACACTTACTGGAGCGGTACAGAGAGCCGACTATTTTACTTGCGTCCTTAGTAATGGATAGATTGTTATTTTTATGCCCCACCACCACAAACAAAAAAAAAATGTAGATATATGGACTAGGTAGGACTTCATAGAGTAATTGTGTTATTTTAGTAACCGTAGTAAGAATAGTATGCATGGATGTGATGTTAAGACAGAATGCATGGTTGTTAGCAAAAGGGGCAGACCAACATGCAAATTACAGATTGGAGATACCGAAATAAAACAGGTGCAAGAATTTAGGACGGAAAGTGCGGTGCGGATACCCGAAGGCGTGTTGTGATAGCGAATGGTGCCTTCCCAAAGCTAAGCAAAGTATTAAGAAACAGAAGGAATATTGTTAGAAAGGAAGAAAAGAGAATTAAACAGTTATGTAGTAACTCTATGACAGAAAATGCTGGACAGTCTCTTCACAGCTGAAGAAGAGACATGAAGCAACAGAAATGTAATTCTACAGAAGGATGCTGAGAATCGACCGAACATGTGAACAACGATTAATTTCTAGAGCCAATGGCAACAAAACGGACACTTATACTTAACATCAGAAAAAGACGGTTGAAATTTCTAGAGCACATAATGAGGAAAGAGGACTTAAAAAATTTGATGCTCACGGGACAGATAGAGGGTCCGGAGAAAACGCACAACCCTCCTGACAGGCTTCAGTGAATGGATGGCAGAGCAGGGTTTAGTAAAGTTGTTAAGCGCTACAAAGGACAGGAAAATGTGGTGAGCCATGAACGCCAACGTCCTGAATGGACACGGCACATAGAAGAAGACGAAGAAGAAGTAAGAATGGTATTCAAGAATGTGTCGTTTTGGTGAACGAAACATGATCGGAAGAGTTGGTCAGTGACTTAGATTAGATAAGTTACTTCGGACAGATGAAGACCAGCTTTCCCATTTTCCCAATTTCGGCTTTGGGACATATCTGATCTATATAAATATATCTTCTACCTTTACAAGCGCCAGATCAGGCCTAAAATGGCGTTTTTGGGGGAGGAGGGGGTTGTCATATTTGGCGGGGTGGGGGCTGCTCAGTCCTCACTTTCCAGTCTTGATAGAGTTCAAAAGCGAGTCCTTTTGGATGACGAATGATTTTCCATTCTCCAAAATCTCTCACGGAGGGGATATGGCAAGCCTCTTAAGCCATAACATCAAGAAGTCACCCTTCTGACAAATCGACCATGGTGAATTTCGAACCGGGTCTCATGATCGAAAATCGAACATTGTAACCACTTCGTCAAGTGCCTATTGCTCTGCGGGTAGCGTGACAGTTATTGGCGCAGAAAATAAAATTGACGAACCGATTTCAAATTCCTAGTCAGCTGCGTTCACTTTCGCACACATGCTTCTGAGAAAGGCATGAATCCACTTATTTTCTCTCTACTTAACAGGATAGGCGGCTTATTGACTTTGGGTGTCAGCTTGTCTTGGAGAGGAGTTATTCTGTATTATTCCACTAAAAATAACGTTTAAAGTAATAAAAATTATTCTGAATGTAAAAGTCAACGGTTAACTACGCCACCATTTTTCCCAAGAAGACATGATAATTCAGAGATAATTGGCATATCAGGTTGAATCACCGGTTCTAGCACGATCACCGAAGATAAGCAACGTTGAGCCTGATCAATACGTGGATGGGTGACAGCTTGCGAATAGCAGATGCTGCAACACTGGATGTGCGGGTGGTATGGCTTATGGTCATATCACGTTGAAACACTGGTTCATCGAAGTTACGCAACGTCGAGCTTGGTCATGACCTAGATGGGTGACCGTTTGGGAATACCAGAATTCTGTAAAACTGAATGTGCAGCTGATATAATGGATAACAGCTCGTAATTGTTAATCGGAGATCCGAGTTCTAGTAGGGTTCATTATATTCACTTACACGCAAATACCCTTGGAAAAGGGATGAATCCACCTCTCCCCCAGCTATGGATTAATAAGTAGGACTTGTTTTAGTAAATCATTATTACCTCCAAAAATACTTACACTCTAAAATATTTTCTTGACTTACACTCTAAAATATTTTCTTGACTTTAATTAATTTGCAAAAGGTTGATAAGCCGTAAAAAACAAATCAATAAATTCATAGATAATAAAGGAATAAAAACTGTAGAGAGCCATGATCACCTCCGAAAAAAGCCAATAAAACAAATCTACCGGATGACAAGAAAAGCCTCTTGGCGAATCCCATTTTTAATGACTTTGTTAAAGTGCCTCGTTTTGGAATAGTGACTCACTAGTAACTAAGCTAGGATCGCTTGATAGCTCAGACCAGACACCAGGTTCGATCTCAGGGTGAAGATTCTTCCAGTAAAAGTCTTGTTACTTAAAAAATAATTGTTTAGCTAGACCGTCATCTACGAAATAAAACCATGAACTGATTGTAGCAGTCGGCAATTTTTATTCGATTGTAAGCTTCTGCTGTAGACGAGCGAGAAAGAAGAGAGGCGGGCTGAGGTCTTGAACAGTCTAACGGGCGTGTCTTTCTTTTCGCGCCGCCGCGAGCAGTCTCTTGCAGCCTTGTAGCGTTGCAGCTCAGACCAACCACCAATTTTGTTCTCAAGATGCAGCTTCTTCCAATAAAACGTTTGTGGGTTAAAAAATAACTGTTTGTTCAGATCGTTACCCACAAAATAAAAACATAAGTCTATTGTAGCAATAGGTGAATTTTATTCGATTGTAACCTTCTGCTGTAGAAGAGAGAAGCAGAGGTAATGGGCGAACAGTCTAACGGGTGTGTCTTCCTTTTCGTGTCGCAGCGAGAGACTTCATGTTCCTCTCTGCGCCTTCCTGGCTTTTTGCCACTGTCTTCTATAGAACAAACCTTCTTTGTTTCGTCAGCTTCGTCTAAAAGCTAATTAATCAAGTACTCAGAACCTGGTTTCACTCAATGACCTTCTTTATCCTAATAGTTTGGCCTGGTTTTTTGGACGTCCACTCCATTAAACTGACTTTCTTTGCCAAGACTAACTCTCGGAACATTTTCTGTAACACCTTTCAGATGTTTTCTTTTAACAAGATATCAACTGATACTAATATCGCTAAACTCTAGTGCGTGTGATCCTCACCAAGTACACCATATTTGTGACGATAAAAGGATTGGCGCAGCAAATCGCGTTACACTAAGATATCAGAAAAGCCAATAATTTTGTTCGATAAAATATTGTTATAAATAAAGTTCTTTAAATCCGTATAAATTTGATTATTTGATAGACGCACTCAATGTGGTGCTGGTGGGGTGGGGGTGTTAAATTATACCCGCCAATAGTTTATATCGGATCAGAGATTTCTAATCTTCCGCTTCGAGTGTCTTCAGGACGTGGGCGATCAAGAAGAGATGTTGTCGAAATTCCTCTCCTATGCAACTATCAGCAAATTTTATCCCTTTATCACCCCGCCCCTTCCCCGCTCTATCATCCATTCTTCTTGCTTTGAAAGTCTACTGGGACTCAAGTTCACTCCAGACATCAAGTGGAACGACCAACCCCTTTGCTAAAGAGGCTGAAAAAAATAATACGTTCCCTGTACCTCCCGAGAACATACCTGACTCCACTTTGCAAATGTCAGCGCAGACCAAAAATGTAATATTGATGTCATATCTGTGATGGAGCTGCTCAATCTTCAATTTCCAACCTTGACAAAGTTCAAAAGCGTCAACGTAGCCTTGTGGGTGATTAATTATTTCAATGGAAAATCTTTCTGACGAGCCAGATTTCTTCTTTTCACTAGTTCAGACCTTTACAGCTAAGATCCGCTTCCGCTATTCAGGGTATACAGAGCTGAATCTTCTTTGTATTCCATTGGAAGTACCATTTTGGATAGCTTCTTCCCAAGAACCGCTACTTTGAAGAAAAGACTCCTGAACAGGTGCTTCTTCGACCACTAAAATCTTAACCCCTTCAAGTCTCTGATCAACCGTTAACTACTTTCAACGGTTTCATTCTGCCTCTACCTTGAGTGGCTCTTGTGCCTTGTATTAAATGAACAAAAGTAAAAAAAAATATTTAAAAAAATACACAGCCTTGTTAGGTGGATTGGTTACTTGCTGTCACCTGTCTTTCTAACTTTCAATATATCTTGTGAGTGCCAAATTTTCTAATCGTTATTTCCATGTGTGTCCAAGAAATACGTACCGGGAAGGAAATTAGAACAGGCGAGTTCGAATTCAGGTTGATGCAGTTTCATAATGGCGACTGAATTTACGTTTCATTTTTTGACTTTATACATTCACGTGTAATCTTCTTCTTTTTTTTTTTTTTTCAAAATTAATTTACTAATTGGAGAGAATTTCTCTTCATGTATCAAAAATAATGTATCGTCATGTCGGCATCTTAAAGTATATTTGGATTTTTTTTTTAAATTGTCAAAACTTCTAAGTTTTAAGTAAGCACTTTGAAAGGTTTCTAAAAGAAGTTGTTGGCCAGCAAATATTCGATTGAGTCATAAATAATTTCTGTTTTTGTTTATCACATTTATTCTTCAAACACTAAAGTACAGTTATATTTTATTCAATTATATATTCGCCATTATTTGCAATGATTTGATACCAATTATCCGGTAGCTCTTAGATACCGTTTGAGTAAAATTCCGCAGGTATGTCTCCTCGTTTTACCGTGTAAACAGTCAGTTATGTGCCATGATACACGCTTAAGCTCTCATGTTTCTTTCGGTAAGACAGATTTTTTTCCCGCATTAGGTTGCTATTTCTTTCTGCGGTAGACCAGTTGCTATCCAAGGCTATAAAACTGTCTATGGATCTGTCCTGCAATTTACCCATAGCTGTGTGGAGAAGAAGAGAATGCATGCCTTTCCTAAGGGATCTGACTGAAATTCGAACTCGGCTCTCCGATTTCTCAATCCGAGTCGCTATCCATTACTCTACCGTGCCCGTATAAGAGAAGCTCTATTCTAAGAGTGTCTTTTCTCACACTTGTGAAACCCTCTTCCAGCTTCTTGTCACCTACAATCTTCAAAAGCTTAGTTTAAATGCAATGCCAGTACGCCATCTTCTGTCTTCCAGAATCCCCTTCTTTCATTGCCTTTACTCCTAACGTCTTCTCATATTTTTTCAATCTCAGTAAGCCTTTTGTTTCAGTTGCCTTATTGTTTTGCCTGTGGTGAAACATTTTTTTTTAAGTTTTTCATTAGAAAAAGGTTTTCCCCGTCGAAGCGTTTTGTAGCGACCTAAAAACATAATAATTGGTTGGTGCATGATCAAGTGAATATGGCGGATGGACACGACAGAATAATGCCAAATATTTTTTCCTGTGTTATTCCAGTTGACATAAAGGATAACAACATTTTTTCAGCTAACGAGTGCAAGTTGGTTTTTGACCAAATTTTTATAGACACTTTGCACCTGCTGAATGCATAAATGTGTATTTAATGTTTCATTGTGGTTTAGTCAGTTAATTTTGTTTAGCAACATATCAACATCTCTATGGGTCATTTAATGCCTAACTCTAATATTTTGTACGCAATTTCATGCTTTCAACTACAGATATTTTGTACATAATTTTATACTTTCAGGGTAAAGGTTTGTTTTTTAGATATATAGCTTGCAGATCATAAAATGTAGTGTTGGTAATTTTACTATAAAAATTATAATTTGCATTGATTGTCGTTTTGCTATAAAAATGTATTGTTGGTCATTTTATTATTCGGAGGTTCACTATTTTCCCATAGCTGGGACCCTAACAGGTGCTGCCACTCTGGAGTCTAGTTGGACTTGGGAACAACAGCAGTAAAAAGGTGGTTTCATGGTCCTCAAAACCTTCAATCTCCCGATCCAAGTGTTTGCTGCTGGATGTAGTTTATTGCCAGGACGGGTATTGTGCCTTAAGCATTCTAAATGAATAAATAACCTGGCGATACATACCGCACAATTCAACTGTCTGGCTCAGTTGAAGAGATCTATCCTTGTCAATCCTCTTCGTCTTGAGCTGAAATTGTTTTATGTAACCTAATTTTCACTGCCTGCTTTGCTTATGATAGATTTGAGGAACGGTTCAATACATTTGTGATTATGGTTGTTAAATAAAACTGAAATTACCTATGACGCAACCTAATTTTTATTCAATAACGACAGCGGTTATAGATGGTTTTTTTTTGTTTGTTTTTTTTTGTAAAGCAAAAAACAACTTCCTTTCCGTTGGTCTGATATACTGATAACATTAATACAAGCAATGATAGAAAATGTGCTAATTTTTCCGGTGTTTAAATCAAATGATTTTTATGAAACAATTTAACGCAAAATTCATATCAGGCATATATACACAGTGACAATATATATATACATATATATATATATATATATATATATATATATATATATATATATATATATATATATATGTAAAATGTGTATGAATATAAATATATATATATATGCAATTTTGTATATATATTATTTATACATTATATATGCGCGTTACTTTTTGGAAAGTGCTCAATATTTGTGATAGAGCTAACATTTTTAGTTGGATTGATGTGAGATTGTGACTCTGGGTTTCACGCTATTTGCGATCGTCAGACAACGATCGCAAACAGCGTAAAATCCAGGGTCACAAACTCACATGAATCCAAGTAAATATATGTGTGTGTGTGACCACACACACACACACACACACACATCGCCATTTTATATTTTTGATTTCGCGCATGCGCGTCCTTTGTTTTTGATTATGTCGACTGCACAGTATGGCAGTGTCAGTTGGGCACTGTCTGTGTGGAAAAGAGCAGCATGTCGCAATCCAATCCGACAGAAATTTGCTGCGCTGGTTGACATTTCAGAGTGTTTGGATGTCAATCTGATGACAGTGCAGAGCATTCAGAAAGAGCTAAATGCGTCTAATGCTGATTACGGGGGTGTTTGGAGTGATCACTAGTGATGCCAACGTTATATCTCGATTCATCTTCCCACAAGGCCTCAGACTCAACACAGAGTTCTACATCAAGTGCCTCGAGAATGTAGTGCTACCTTGAGTCAAGAGGGTGGCTGCTGGAAGACCCTATGTCTGGCAACAGATCTCTGCACCATGCCACACAAACAAGCGTACCCAGTCATGGCTGTCAGACAATTTCTGCAACCGCATTACCCCTTATATCTGACCATCAAACCCCCCAGCCTGAAAACCCTTAGATTATTATGTATGGGGCGTAGCTAAGCAACAGACCAACTAAACTCCTTGTAACACCAAAGATGAAGTCAAGGATTATGGATTCATTCACCAAGTTAAACAAGGAAACCCTCCAAAAGTAGATTTCGAAGTCGTCTAAAAGCCGTAGTTCAAGCCAATGGCAACTTTATTGAATAAATTTACTCTTTAGTATTTCAAGATATTTTGTGGAATTTTGGCAAATATATCTGTTAAAATGTGATAACTGTGTTATTTTCATTTTTGCGCAATTTAAACAATTTAAACAATTTATATATATATATATATATATATATATATATATATATATATATATATATATATATGGTGCCTGATGAACTAGGAACACCACTCAGAGAAACTATAGTCGCACGCCAAAAACGTAGGTACGCGTAAAGTACTAATTAATACATATCTTTGCTCTACCGCATTGAGCACTATTACGTTTACACCTCATACATAAATTTAAAATTTAACGATTATTTATTTGCTTGCCTGCGTATGCACACGCGTACACGCCTGCTTACATTTGGCCGTTTCATTTACCCACTCTACAACTATATATATATGTGTGTGTGTGTGTGTGTGTGTGTGTAAATGGTTAGCGTTTTAATCTCACAACATTGTATTGATTGTCCCAAGATTGTCGTTTTATATATATATATATATATATATATATATATATATATATATATATATATATAAATATTTGGGGTTTCGGAGTGGGATATCAGCTCCGGCGGAGAGACAATCGTATTCCTTCTGGTTTAGTTCATCCGTGTTGGTTTTCACCTGTTTCTCATCTGTTGCTTCAAGCCAGTTCAACTGCAAGTCAAAACAAATAAGGGTAGACGACGGAACCTCGATAATTTCGCGTGACAGCCCGATTACACCTAAAGACTGATTTCCGGCGGAATGGGCTTATGAGATCTGCAGATCCAACGACCATGAAGGTGGTCTCAGAAAGTGTCGTGATTTACGGGCACATCACGTTGAAACACCGAATCCTACACGCTCATCAAAGCTAAGCAACGTCGAGCCTGGTCAATAATTAGATAGGTGACTGATTGGAAATTGTAGGTTCTGTAAGCCTGAGTGTGTAGCTGATATAATGGATAACGCTTCGGAATTGGAAATCGGAGTGCCGTGTTCCAGTTCCAGTCGGGTTTGTTATATTCACTTAAGCGCAAATATTCTTGGGAAAGGTATGAATGCACCAGCTATGGGTTAATTAGTATCAGTAAATCATTATTACCTTTACCCCAACAAAAAATACAATCTAAGAATATGTATTTTCTAGTAAGTAACCTGCAAAAGGTTGATAAACCGTAAAAATAAAATGATTCGATGATGTTAATTATTATGTTGTATTATTTTTATTTCCAGGTGCCACTGAAAAGTCAGAGACGAACGAACGCGTAAAGATGTCAAGTGAGTTTTCACGATAGTTTCTTTTTTATGTTTTCAAATTGATATTAAGGTAAATCTCAGTGTGTGCATTTTTATAATACTACCAAAATGTCTACTTTTGGCAATTTCTTTGCTACTTTTAATATAGTTACAATGAATACACATAAAGGCGTTACAGAGCCATGTGTTGTCTGCGAGTAAGAACCCAGGAATTAGAATTGGAACCCAAATTAAATCCAGGAATTTGAATGTTGATTTTCGAAGCTAGCAAAACCTACCAACTTACATTAATAAAAGCAAGTCCAGTTCCAGCAAAACCATCCGCACATCTCTCATTCTATTAAAAGGTCATAGGAGTAGATAGGCTCTCATATCGTCCGGTTCACACTCCTGTACGGTCTTTTGAACAGGAGTAGAGGTTTATCCCTTGTTTCCTGTTTAGGATTGGGTTTCCACTTCCTTCTAAAGTTTACATCCACGCTATACTTCTGACGTCTCCGCCTGAATTCTGCAATTTTATTTACACTTTATTTTTTTCCTCAATAGGAATAGATAGATACACCTATCGTCCGGTTCACACTCCTCCCCTTCATTTGAACATGAGTAGAAGTTTATGCTTTGTTTTCCTTTTTACGTCTGGGTTTCTCCTTCCTTCTCAAGCCTCCTCATTCTCTTTCACTCACTTGCGCCTTAGTGGCGTTGTCGCTTTTTGATTTTTCTTTTTAAAGTGCCAAGAAAATTGGGCACATTTTTGTTACTAATTCCATGTACGCATGGAACTCCTATTTAAATCCATCCCTATGTCATATTCCGTTTGAGTGAGAGCGCTGATAAATACTTAGACACGGTTAAGTATTCCATGATAACGACGGTCTGACACCGACTGCTCGGCGAAACGCTTGTTTTAAATACGTAGCGTTCTCATCCTTGAAAGTTATAAGCGAATAAGATTAATTCTGGCTGAGAAAATAATAAAAATACAGCCTCCTGTCAAAGTCGTTTTTTTTTGTTTTTTGTTTTTTGTTTTTTTGTCTGACAAATAACCCGTTCAAGCACTTACACCCGCGGTAGTGTCATTGTTAACGATCTAATATATAAAACCACTGATGCAAACCCATTGTTCTCTAACCACTCCACACATTTCGCTTTGAAATGCTAAACTAAACTTCATAAATATCGATGAACAAATGTTTACATGGAAGGATTGATAGATTGATCACCAACCAAAAAAGAGAAATACTTGTTTCGATTACATAACTGCCTTTACGCAGTGCCCTCAAAAGCCCTCTAGTCATGGGCCCCTGGATAAAACTTTTAAAAAATAAAGATATAAGACTAGCGTAGATTTGTTTATTTTCATATGTAATGAGGCTCCTTTGAACTAATTTGAACCAATTTAGAGCATTTGGGCCCGTCTAGTTTGGGTGGGTCTTTTAAATTCGAGAATCCTCCTTACACGGGCTCTATTTAGATTTTAATGAATATTTCTCATATACATATAAATTTTTTTATGTAGCTTTTTTAGTTTTGCATAATTTTGTCTACTTAGCTCAATTTTACACTTCATTGAAAACAAACATGTAATAAGTGCAAAATTGCTCAATATTGTAGAAATTAGTCTTTTTTATGGACACGGGGTCGAATATACGTAATGAAGCGACCCCCAAATTCTATTAGCTCAGGGGCCTGTTAAGACATAAATCTGGCCCCGCCTCTACGCTACGAGATGCTCGAGACAGAATATATGCCCTGAAAATATTTGTAGAATAGTCAGTGAGAAACGGACTGAAATCGTGATGTCAGGCCAGGATCGACAAGATTACAGACCCTTAGAATTTTGTCAAGAATATCGAGATATAGATCAGAAACACCAGACTGGATATGGCAGTAATATTCAGTGCACGGTCGAATCGTAGGTTTATAAATGTGCAAGATGGATTCTAACGAGAAAAATTATCTGGCACGATAAAATGAATCAACAATCCTGGCAGGAGACCTACCAATTGATTCAATATAATCACGCCACACTTCATGTCATTAGAATACGTGAGCCGAAGAAGGCGTAAAGGTTTGCCCTTTTGGAGGTTAGCATCAGCCATGCTGATGGTAGGCAAAAACGTCTCTACGGTGATTAAATTAAAGCAGTTTTGTTTTAGAAGCATTAAAATTCACAAGCCATTCCTTGCCTCAGTTAATCACTTATTGGATGTCCTTTTCGAGAGTAGTTGCCAGTTTTACTCCGATGAATCTATCGTACTTGCTACTAAGAGAGGAGTAAATAGTTGTATCATCAGCATAAATTTCTAGTTGGGAATTGAACATATCTGGAAGGTCGTTGATGAAGATAAACAATTTAGGCCCAAGGATAGAACCTTGGGGAACCCCGTATTTATGTGAAATGAACTAGAAGTGTGCCCCTTCAACACTACCGTCATTACACGATTTGTTAGGCAGGGCGGAATTAAGTCAAATATTAATTCAGAGACGCTGTAGACCTTGAGCTTGTGGTGAAAGCTAGCATTCCAAACCCTGATGAACGCATTCGAGATACCTAGATCTGATTTCTTTTTAAGCTTTAATACTTGATGGGTTATTTAAAACAGAAACATGTTTTGGATTTTAAGAATAATTCTTCCTTTTTTTTTTCGAGTTTATGTTACATAACAATTTTTTTCAAGTACAGGTAATACTACTTCTCGAGTACAAGTAATACTACTTGACACATAGTTGGAAGAGGACGAGATGGATTCAAATCTTTCTAAAAGATATTTGTGCGTTTGTGAATTTACCGAGTAGAATTCGAACTGGCTGAAGGGAATCTAGTGAATTTTCTTTTGATAATTGCTACACTGAGATGAGTCATTATCATTTCAAAAGTTGTTAGGACTACTGGTCCTATTCTTGTTACTACAATATCTCGGCCGATCTCTTCTACAGCTTTCTTCAAGTGTACAATTCATACGGGAAGAATAGCTTCCCTCCATTCTCTCTCTCCTATTTAATTCTTTCGCGGGAGGCCTTAAAATGGATCGGCCAAAATGTTGTTGTCAAAACGTTGCCTTTGAATTATTTTAAATATTCAATAGTATAAACAGAAAACGGAAATAAAAACATGTGACACAGTAAAATCAGATAACAATTGTAGAAGAATAATCCGATTTCCGAATGTCAGCAAAAACGGTACATCGAAGTGCAACTTTTAGTAGGGCAATACCATGAAAATGTTCTAACTTGAAGATTAAAGCAATTTCATGTCCAATAAGAACTTTGGTTTCAGAGTAGTTTTAATTAAGTATAAATTAACAAAAAACTCCAAGGGAGATAACTTAATTAATTTTTCTTAGATATGACAACAAACGTATGTAATATATGGGAATAGGCTGCCCGCATGATTAAAAAGTTAAGTTGACTATTGCTATTGAAATTTTAGGATATTATTTCACTGTGCGCTTTTCTATCTGTAAATTCAACTTCATTTTAAATACGTACAGAATAAATAAAAAAAAACAATTCGCGACTGGCGTGATATTGGTCCTCACTGAGTTGCTCACAATGAGTGTTGTACGAACCTTAATGAATATCAATGCATAAAAGATAATGGAGGGAAAAGGGAGATCACGCCCCACTCACTTCGTGGGATGAGGTATCGCTGGAAAATACGGATCAGCGCATATGTGACAAAATATCTCCTAAACCGGATAAGCATAGACATGAATGCAATATGGGGAACCAGTAATAAGGAGTGTTAGAAAAATAATACTAACAACAAATTATAATGAGCTATGGTAAAAAGAAATAATGTTCAGTGAGATTAAGTTTATAAGTCCCAAAAATTCATGCACTTTTTTATGGTCCAGTGGATAAAATATAGGTTGAAGTAATCGAATGACTTGACCCATAGTTGTGAGTACATTATCTGGCCGCAGCAGATGTGAACAAAAACTTGAAGAGTTAAGTTAAAGAGAAAGAGACGAATATGCAAGATGATAGGTCCTGATCTGGCATCTAGTCTACAATCACTATTCCACAGACGTGGCTTCCCTCTATCTCTTCTACAAATATTTTCACGGCAACTGTTCCGACGAGATACTGTCTCTTGTTCCCGGACTTCATAAATTTAAACGTGCTACTAGGTTGGCATTTCGGTCCCACCCTTTCACTGTCAAAACAGTCAAATGTAACCATCTCTTCTCAAACAGCTTATTCTCCCGCACTTTCCGTCAGTGGAACTCCCTTCCCTTTACTTGCTTCCCCGATGACTATAATCTTCAAATATTCAAGTGTAATGTCAATCGACATCTGACACACTGAAATTGTTTCCCGGTCCTCCTCTGTATCCTTTCTTCAAACGCGCCTCTTTGCTCTTGTTCTCAATCCTCTGTAACCCCTTGCGTGCTAGTGGCACTCCAGCCTTGCTTAGGGTGAATTGCCTTAAAATAATTTAAAAAAATAACAGATACTGAGACATCCGGAAGAGGCATGACACGTGGAACTAGAATGGGTGTCTTCTTGATAAACATGTTTTAGAATATCCAATATAATTATTTACAAATTTGGATTGATCAGGAACACAGCTTCTTAAGGGACATGTAAATTCGCAATTTATATTGTTTCTCTTTAATTTAGATGCTGCAAGGGAATTTTTGGCGATGAGGTTAGCCGTTTTAAATTTTTTATAATAAATAATTTAATTTTCTTGTTTCTGTCGACTAGTGTTGTGCATATCTTTATGATGTTTTTAAGTGAAGATTTGTCTTACTTGTAGTCACTGTAAATTTGATTTTTGTAGAAAATGTTAATGTTATTGTGTTTTTTTGTGTGTGTGTGTGTGTGTGTGTGGTTAGTGTTGCTATTGGTTACCTTAGAAAGAAAAAATATACTACTATACGACATGTTTAACAAGACGACTCACGTTACATCTCATTGACTATAGCTCAATTATGTCTCAATTACACATGGAGATATACCAATCTCTGTCTGTAACATACTCATTGATAATACGAATATAATAGCATCATCCA